CTGGCTGCTACTGCTCTCTTCAGTGTCCTGGATGTTTCAGTAAGGTTTTCCCTGGTACTCAAAGACATTTTGTTATCAGTTATATTGTTTTCCTGAGAGCCGCAGTCACACTTTCTGTGAACCTTTCCTGTCTTCAATCAGGGGCTCTTCATGTATCTAAGATTACCCCTAAGTTACTGTCTCTAGTATGTCTACAACAAAATCTATCCACCTTTTTTGTCTGCACAGGGGAAAGGAGAGAAGCACTTCGGTGCGCAGCACAGCAGGTCTGGGCTGGCAGCCTGTCCTGGGGGGTGTCTCAAGGTGGAGAGGACCTGCAGCAATGCTAGGGCTCAGGCTCAGCAGCCTGGAGGGCTGTTGGGCAGGCTGCTCTAGAGCACACCTTCCCCCTGCCATCACACAGGGACAGCTGCTACAGAAAAAAAAGCACTGAAACTTATCGCAGTAACTGAAGGCTAGCTCATAATAATTCCAGTGCCTTTCAGTGGAACCAATGCAAAGGAGTACTTGCAAATCTGCTATGATTTAATTACTCTTCACCTAGTTCCCAGAGTCAGCTGTTTTACTACAGTGCATGCAACATTTTGACCCTTAGAATATATTTTTAGAGTAGCTGAATGCAGCAGTTGTTGTGGGAAGTGCTGGAGAATGGCTCAGTTTTTTGTTTCTTGTTAATTTCTATAATAGACATAAAAAATAATCACATCACAGTCTCATGGTTTATACTATTCCCATTTCCAGTTAATATTTGCTTTGAGCTGTGTTAGATTAACATAATGAGCCTTATGTGTGCATGCACAAGTCCAAAATCTAGATTTGACTTTACAAAAGTAGACACATCTCCTAAATTTGCTTATGAAACAATATAATGATTGAACTCAAGAATAATTCAGGTGGAATTATGCTGTTTTGCAGTTGGTAGGTTAGTATTGCTTGATAGAAAAGCAGTTTACCCAGAGTTCATTGGGCCAAAATATTGTCTGTCCCTGTGAGAAGAAATTATTTGGAAGGTTATTTGGGACCATAGCTCAGAAGAAAAGGAAAGAACTCAGCATTGAGACATGGACAGTGGGATTGAGTGTATCCTCAGCAAGTTTGCCGGTGATACCTAGTTGTGTGGTGTGGTTGACACCCAAGAGGGAAGGGATCCATCCAGAGGAACCTTGACAGGCTGGAGAGGTGGTTCAGTGCCAACCTCACGAAATTCAACAAGGTCAAATGCAAGGTCCTGCACCTGGGTCAGCACAACCCCAGGTGCAAATAGAGGCTGGGGGGAGAATGGCTGGAGAGCAGCCCTGAGGAGAAGGACTTGGGGGTGGTAGGTGATGAGAAGCTGGGCATGAGCCACCAGTGAGAGCTGGAGCCCAGAGGGGCAGTTGTGTCCTGGGCTGTATCAAAAGATGTGTGGCCAGTAGGGCCAGGGAGAGGATTCTGCCCCTCTGCTCTGCTCTGATGAGACCTCACCTGGAATACTGTGTACAGTTCTGGGCCCCTCAGCACAAGAATGATACAGACCTGTTGGAGAGGGACCAGAAAAGGGCCCCCAAGATGATCCAAGGCCTGGAGCAGCTCTGCTGTGAAGACAGGCTGAGAGAGTTGGGCTGTTCAGCCTGGAGAAGAGAAGGCTCCAGGGAGACCTTGTAGCACCTTCCAGTGCCTGAAAGGGCTCCAGGAAAGCTGGGGAGGGGCTTTTCATCAGAGAAGACAGTGCTAGGACAAGGGGTAATGGTTTTAAACTGAGAGAGGGGAGATTTAGGTTAGGTATTAGGAAGAAATTCTTCACTGTGTGGGTGGTGAGGAACTGGAATGGGTTGCCCAGGGAGGTTGTTGATGCCCCATCCCTTTTAAGGGTTTTAAGGCCAGGTTGGACGAGGTTTTGTGCAGCCTGGTCTAGTGGTTCTCTGCTCATGGCAGGGGTGTTGGAGCTTGATGATCTTTAAGGTCCCTTCTGACCTTAATGGTTCTAGGATTCTGTGATTTTCATCCTGTCTTGTTCTTTGCCTTCTTGCATGTATAATTTCAGCTCTTACTCAATATGGATACAGATCAGCTGATGAGGAAGGGATTAGTTTATCTAGCAAAGGCAGCAAACAGCCATTACAGACATTACTGCAGCTCACACCCTAAACCTGAGTGTATCCCAGGCACGCCATACAGAGTGTTCTTCTTGGCCTGGTTCTATCATTTCCATGTGCTGCTTAGATGAAAGTGATTTTCTTATGGAAAAGTTGCCATATTGTGATAATCATTCAGCCAGCCTGGATTCTTGACATGGTTGTTCTATTCACTGAATCACTGACATGCCAAAAGTTTAAGCACATGCTCGTACATACAAGAGGAGTTAAATTCCTGCTTAAGTGCTTATGGTCCTAGCAGTTTAACACTGGATTTACACTGATACAATTTATATCATTGTGCTTATTATATTTCTTATTTGAATGTGAATAAGACTAGATTAACTGCCATTTAAAATGTGGTTCCATATATTGTTTTCCCATTATGGAAGTGGTTTATTTCTGCACCCAGCTCTCATTCCTACCCTTCCCCTCTCAGCACTGCAGCTTGCTCCCCTTTCTGGGTTTTTTCCACTGAGAGATGACTGAGCAGTGCTGCCTGTGCTCTGTCTTTCCTGCAGACAGATTATCCTGCCTGGACTCCTGCGTTGGTTGCACACAAGCATTTTCATGGCTACCCAGTTACTTTTGCTGGGAACTGATCTAGCCAGAAAGCATCTTCTTTTTATCCCCAGGCAGTTTTTAGTTTGCTGTGTTGCCACAAAAATGCTTTTGCCAGTAAAGGGGTAGCCTGTGGGCAGGAGCAAGCAGCTGGGTGTGGAAGAGGTGATAAATGGCAACACTCTGGTTTCATGTGGAAGCATGAAGTAATTTGTGTGGATACAGCTGTTCGTGGACCACACATAAACTGAACCCGTGAGAAGGTTGTGTTGTTGCAGGGCTGCTTTTAACTGGGCTTATTTCTTGATCTGGATTTGCCACTGGAGCTAAAATACCACACAGCTGCACTCTCAGGTGGTTCCATAGTCTTTACAAGCTGGACATGTTTGACACTAGACTGCAGAGAAGGAGAAATCTGATGCAGATCTGGTGTGAGCACATGCAAACATTTCTGCCAGAGGAAAGGTGTGTGTCAGCCTCGTGTCTGGGAAGCGGCCACGCTCAGGCTGTGGGGAAACAGGAAAGGGCCTGGGCTGGTGGGGCTGGCTGGCCTGAAGTCAGCCTTGCAAAGAGAAATGTTGACTTGGGGCTGGCAGAGCGAGGTCAGCTCAGCATTTTGCATGCATTTGATCCAGGCTGTAAAATCATCAGCCCCTTTCATTCTGTGTCTGTCCTTCATGTCAGACATGGACACGGCACAAATATGTCAGGTCTGAGAGGCACAGAGCTGAGCTGAAGCTTATTGATGTGGTACTGATTTAATTCAACTATTTTTTCCTTGCATTTCACCTGCTTTGAAAAAGTGAAATAATGTTGTTATGGAAGGATGTAGGTTCAGGTTCCTGATCTCTTTTTATTGTGCTGCTTCTGAACTGTCTGACAGTCCAGCTTGTCGCTGGGTCTCATTAGATGCACTTTTTCCTTCAGTTACAGTCAAGCTGCTTTTCATTACTATGATGTGTGAAAGAGTGCTTAAAATGCTTTTGCAAGATATAAGAGTAATACTAAGCCTTATTTATAGATGAGTACACAGGGTGTGTGGTTTGTCCATGATGATAGAGGAAGGCTGCAGCCTGCCAGGACCTCCCATGAGGTTTGGTTCTTAACTGGAACATCTCTCATCTGCATGTCATTGAAAAAAGTGTGGGTCTCCTTCACAGTGGTGGGAAGCACACACAGTGATCATTATTTATGCTGGTAATTACTCTTACAATAATTACTTTAGATCTATCTATAAGAAGTATGTTAAGATGGAAAACCTTTTTATGGGCTTACTGCATATTATAGGCACACATTTGTAGAGGAATCTTGAAGTTAAAAACTTCTGTGTCATTTACTGCATATCATTAGGTAAATATTTGAACATACTAGGTTTAATATAAATATTTGCTGCATTGTAGGTATTAATGTTTTATACAGATATGAAATATTAAAAGAACTTACCAAGCAGTTACTAGTCCCAGATCTTGCCAGATGTAATAGCTGTCTTGGCTGTTTGAAATGCATCCATCCTAGTAACTCCCTGCTGTGCACGAGCAGCATGAGCCCTAGGCCTGTTCCCTTCCAGCACTGCCCAGCTAACCAGCCTGATGTCCTTGTCCCCACAGCCCTGGGCCCGCAGCAGGTGCCCCCCGGCGCGGCGCTGCGGGGCCTGCCCGGCGCGCTCACCGCGCAGCAGCAGCAGCAGCAGAAGCTGAGGCTGCAGAGGATCCAGATGGAGAGGGAGCGAATTAGGATGCGTCAGGAGGAGCTGCTGCGACAGGTAACGCCAAGGGTGCTACTCCCTTACTTTGTTCAACAGCCTGTAGTTCAATAATCCACATTTTTACCTGGTACAATGAGCTGCTCTGTTACTTTATGTCAAGATTAACCACTGGGTTTGGTACAGGTAACCAAAAAGCTAATACGTGTGGAACGTTTCATTTTTTTTCTCTAAAGTGTCACTGAACAAAGGGCAGCATGGCCATCTGTCAGGAGTTGCAGACCTGCTTCTTACCAGCTACAGAGGTAGTGTAAGGACCAAATTGTGGTCTGTGCAGTTACTGCTCATTAGCTCCCCATTTAACCTGGTTTGCACAGCAGACTGTGTTCATGCTTCACTGAAGATAAAGCCCGAGTTGTTCTTGACTCTGATCCCAACTCTGTAACTCGCACCCTTTGCCTTGGAATTAAAATGAAATCACACTCACATTTACATGAATACCTCTGATTTGAAAACTTCCTGGAGATAGTTATTTGTGGATGTTTTGTTTATTGTTCTATTTCTTGAGTTTCAGGTCTTTGTAATGACTCATATTGTACAAAATAGATACGTAACTTCCTTTACAGCACCTTAAGGAAATAAAGAGTTTTAACAATTGCATTTCTTCTGTTATGAACAGCTCCACTGACAGTGATGTGTTTTGCATGGCGTATTAATCAGCTTCCTCAGACAAAATAAATAATGTATTTCCCTCAGGAACAGGGTAAATGGAGTATATTTATCTCTGCCTGTGATTATTCCCATGGTCTTTGGTGAATATGTATGTTCTTGGTGCTCTTGCTGAGCTGGAGTGAAAGGCAGGTATGATTCCACTAGAGTATGCGCTCAAAGTTCAGCAAGTTCTTGGTGCTCTTGCTGAGCCGGAGTGAAAGGCAGGTATGATTCCACTAGAGTTTCTGAATTTCTTTACCTGCTCATGTCAGGGCTGTGTTTGACTTCCATGCTTCAGACCTGAGTGTGGAAACTGTACAGAAAACAACATCTTGTGCCCATGTTCAGTTTCCATTACCCTTAATTTTGGGGAGTTACATTATGATACACCAGGGGGTGGTTTCTGACCTGAGCAGTGATCTCAGGTCTTTTGCCCACCTTCTCCTTCACTGTCAAATGCTCACAACATAATAGAGATGGGTGTGGGGATATCTGGTATGAGCTTAGTCATAATTGTCATTGTGCTAAGAACGTGTTTAGCTATTTTTACTCTCTTTGGCTCTCTTCTTGCTTCAGGACAGGAGCAAATTAAGCCTCAGAACAGTTGTGCCACTCAGAGGAGGGCTGGTCCCCCTGCTCTGCTGACTGTTTCACTGGTGCAGGCACAGCCCTCTGTGCGCTACTTAACCAGGCCTCCGGCTTCCTGTGCCCAGTTCCACCCTGCACCCATGGAGCTGGTGTGAGCTCCACGTTGCACAAAGCAGGGCAGTATCACTTTGCATTACTGAAGTTTTCAGAACAACATATTTCCCCCCCCCCAGGAAAGCAAGAGGCAAAATCCATCCTTCCCAGCAGAACTTTGTGAACTTCCTGCCAGTAACCTGAGCACTCCTGAACCCTGGCAGCTGCGGAGAATGCGACAAATCCCTCTGGAGCCCTCAGTGTTCCAGCACAGTTACTCCTGCCCTGACCCTTCATTGCTGCTTTTGCTTTTCTAGTGTAACCTGTCTAAGGGGAAAACGCTGAGTAAGTGTGCTCACTGCTGCTCATGAGTGCGAGGGGTGCAGGGAGAGTGAGGGGGCAGGAATTCTTGTGGAGGGTCGCAAACCTCCCTTGGCCTGGCAGCAGCTGCTGGCTCCCCACGGCCATTCCTGGCTGCAGCTGCTGGGGTGGAGCAGCACACCCAGCTGGGAGGAATTGGCAGTTCTGGAAGTTTTCTGCTGAGGGAATTTGTTTTCTTCTTTGTCCTCCTCTTCATTTCTCTGGTAAGGCCTGTAGAACTGCAGACTGAGTTACGCACAGGAAGAGCAGCATTTCAGAAAACCAGCATGACATCTTCTAGTTAAATGTTTCCTTACTCAGTTTTATCATTCTGGAAAGAGTCAATTTTCTTTCTTACTGATTTGTTTTTGTCAGCTTTCCAAAGGAAAAGGGAAAATCTGCTTGCTGCTGAAGAGCTTCTTGGAAAGGGAGGGAGGTAGAGGTGATGTCAGCAAGAAATCTCTGGAAAGGCCCTACAGGGAAGATGTCCCAGCATGTCTCTGTCTGCACAAGTGCCACCTTTCACCTTGTTTGGAGAGGTGCAACCAGTCACAAAAAGGCAACACTTCTCAGAGGTTCTTCCTGCTCCCCTGATCCTATTGCATAAATAAGTGCACAAAAGATGCAGGGGCTCAAAAGAGGCTGTAGAAGGAGCAGTGTTTGAGGATGCAGATGAAGATTTATGCCTGTTTTGTCCTTCACGGAGTAGAACCTAGCTGGGCTTCTACAGCCTGAGCAGAAGAATGTCCTGCTGTGCTCTTTCCACTGCACAGACTGGCCCATAGTCTGATTTACTGATGGCACAGGCAATATCTGATGTCACACTTTCCACCCTAAGTGTGAGGACTGGCAGAATCAGAGCTGCAGCAATGAGCAGTGTAAACTCACTGTAAAAATGCCCCAGCTGGAAATGACAGTTTGGCAACTAAGCATGGAGCTCAGTTCAGTTCTGCCAGGGGGGGGTTCCAGGAAATGTGATCGTGATTTTCTAGATTTGTCTGGCATACTGCTAAAAAGGGGTTTGCAGCAGAGTTGTGTTCAGAGGCACTGAGTAACTCAACTCACTGCAATGCTTTGAAGTTTGTAAAGATTTTTGCAAATGACCACTGATGGAGCTTTTTGGCATGCCTTTCTGATGTCAGAGTGCTGTGGTGGTTTTTTAAAAATATATTTAGTTATTTATTTGTTAAATCTCCCTTTGTTTTTTAAAAGAGCATATGCTGTAGTGCCAAGGAGATCATTATGGGCATTTGGTCCTTCCTGAACTCAATGCTAAGGATTATCTCTGCTGGCAAACAGGAGGCACTCCTGCATCCTAGAGCTGCCAACTCATTGGAATAGCTAAGGTTGTTCTTGAGGAATGTAACTGTAATATCACTATTCCCAGAGCTGCCAGAGGTCTCTGGTATTTTTTGCTAGGAGATTCCTGAATATTCTTCTTAAGAACCTTGTAATCAAGCTTGAAACAAACAGGAGACGGGGCTATTAGACAGCTTTTGTGACTGCCTAATTGATGCATTACTATTGACCATCACTGCAATAGTACCAAAAAAGCAAAGAAGTGAAGAAGTCCACATCAGTAGCAGTATTAAAGCTGTAATGTAACTTCTGAACAAACCCCCTGCATCAGGCAGCAGCAGAGGAGGAGCTCACTTTAGTACCCTGCTTGCCCCACCTGTGGCTCTAGAGTGCAGGAGCCTGCTGTGCCATTTTATGAAGTACACTTTGAATTAATATCACAAGTAACATGCAATATATTGATACAAAGACACAGGAGGTGCCACACCATTCCCCAAGTGAGAGTAGATCCAGTAATTTTATAATAAGAATAGTGTTTCTTGCAACAAAGGCAGGAACGTAGATTTTGTAAATGCCAGCGTGAGTCTTTAGGATGCTGGAGGTTTTTCAGCTCCAAACTGTCTTGCTTTGCAAGGTCTGTCTAAATCATGTCGTAGATTAAACATTCCTGGAATGGATTGTTGGCCCTGTTGCAGTTAAGAGGGCCAATTACTGTATCTAGGGACATGATTTATCAGCCTGGCTATGAATCTGTCCTTCATGGACGAAGCAGTAGTTGGCACCACATTTTCCAAAGGGATCACTGGATTCCCCTGATTGCTTGGGTCAGCTGCAGGACAGAAAACAGCAGCTCTAAAGTCTGTAGTACCTGTGAAATTCACAGCACCTTGTGCAGGATCAGTGAGCCCAGGGCCTTGGAAAGGATGGGCATTTTGCAATGCTTCCCTATTTGTGGAAGGCAGTACAGTGAAGAACCTTCAAGTTTAACAAAATTCCTTCTCAAAGAGCTGACTGTTCAAGTTACTGACCATAGGACAAACAGCCTGATGCAGTAATGTGGTCTCTCAGCCCTTGTTCTTACTTTGTTAATAGTCTATTCTGAACTACTTCTGAAAATTAAATTATTGTGGAAACAGGGAGTAAGTTACAGAGGTTAGCAATGTTGAGGGTTTTTCCCCTTACATTATGGTATAGATAAGTCTTTGTGGTATTTTGGAGGAAGGCAGTGCCTGTCTCTTGCAGCAAGCACAGGCTAACTGCAGGTTAGAAGGCATTTTTTCCTGTCCTGATGTTACTTTTCTTAGTGTGCAACAATGTCCAGTGAGACTTGAAAATATACTGCCCGAGTATCAACAACATGAATGTCATTGCTGGATTGGACTTTAATCCTGGATACGTACATCCTGCCTCCTCATATCTATCTTCCTTCCCTCTTACTTTCTCTGTTTCTTTCTTCCTGGCTTTTTTCCTAGCATTAGCCTTGCCTGTGTTGCTGTGGTTGCTATTCTTGTATTTAAAAAAAATACTTTCAGTATCTTCATGTAGACAGTTAAAAAAGCTGGTCTGCCCATTGCCTGAGGTTTGTGCATTTTCATAGACTCCAGCTGATGTAATTATGAATAGAAGCATCACCACTAGAACTGTCACTTGGCAAAAGTAATGTCATACATAAACTATTAAAAATCTTCAGGCTATTTATTCTTAACAGGTATGAAATAATTACACCCTCTTAATACAAATTATTATTTATCAGTGAATACATGGGTAATTTTATTATAAAGGAAACATTGCATTAATGAGCACCTATATATGTTAATTCCCAATGGATAACTGTTGCATTTTATTCATTAAAAGGCCAGGCTGGTCCTCCTCAATGAAGAAATCAATTGAAAATACAGTAAACATCGTATTCTATCCTCAAAACATATTAATCATATTAATATTTTCTGTACTTGGGAGAATGAATGACTGATTTGGTCGGGAAAAGTTTTTTAGCAGGATTGAAATGAAATATTTCCTTTGCTTATTTCATTAAAAAAAAAAAAAGTTTGAGTAAACTAGGTAAAAATCAGATACAGCTTTATTATTTTAAGATCTGAGGGTATTTGTGTTAACATCCTGTGGAGCCAAACTGCTGGTATATAGACTTCTGTACCACTAGATGTCACGGTTGTTTCACAGAGATGATGCTAGAAGTATTTATCTTTCCAGAGGAGTTCTGGAACAAGTTTCCTTTGGCTCTTATGGCCCTTTTGCCATCCTGAAGACAGAGCACATGAGACAAGCCATTAGGCAGATGATTATTAATTAGGCAGAGGGTTCATTCTAAAGATTATTGGGTCACAATCTTGTTTCCAGTGGTTTTCTTCTTTCATGTAAAGTACTCAATGGTTGCATATGATGTTCTTCTGCTTTGGTGTACAGCAAATTATGTCTAGCTGGCTGCCAGCCTGAGAGCTCTGCCAGTTACCTGAGCCTTTTGTGGTGTCCATCACACCAAAGGAGCAAGGCCAGTTTGAACAGAACAGGGCTCTCTGGTCAATGTGGAGCTGGTCAGAAAGCCCCCAGCACAGCTGCCTGCCCTGCATGTGGGCCTGGCTCCAGCTGGGGTAGGAGGGGACACTCCACAGTGTTTGAAGCCAGCATGGGTGGGTAGGGAAGTCACTCTGCCTTTTCTTCACACCTGTGTAAAGTCACCAGTGACATTGTTTACAATTACTGTCCTAAATAAGATGTGTCTTTATTACATGTTTGCTTGTTACACGATGCAGTACTTTTGAGCTGCTGGAAGAACCGTTCCCATGTATGTGTTTTCCTTCTCAGGAGGCTGCTCTGTGCAGACAACTTCCCATGGAGTCAGACAGCCTGGCCCCAGTGCAGGCAGGTGTGAGCACACCAGCCATGGCACCAGACATGAGGCCGATCACAAATAATGGATCCGACCCGTTCTTGAACAGGCAAGTTCACATTGTCTTCATCGGGAAACTGGTTCTGATGCTTCCTCTGCACCTTCAAAGCAGTTCCTGTAGCAGCCTCTCTGTGCTTACTGTGAACAAGGGGCATGGCTGAGTGTGTAACCTGAAATCTTGCAGTTTACACTTCAAGAAGGAATCTTAGGAAAATCAAACAAATGGTAACAGGTGATTTTAATGTCTGTAATAATGTGTATGTAGATGACTCTAAGTAGAATAGGTACATTCCCTAAGTATAAATGAACTCCATCTTTCTAGGCTATCAGAGCGGGTTTTGTCTGGAGAGTTACATCAACATGTGTTTATTTAAAAATTTCAGAGTGGCCTCACTTCAGTTGCTTTATATTTGGGCTGATGTAACATGATCACATAAGGGGTCAACAGTTTAGAATGAGGCTCAATGCCCCAGCCTTTAACTTTACTAGCTCACCTACTGTGCTGTCTTTTTCCAGCCACCATGATCATGGGGTGTCTGGCAGAACATCTGGACTGAAGCTTTCTCCTGTTTCTCTTTGCAGTGGGCCCTACCATTCCAGGGAGCAGAGCACGGACAGTGGCCTGGGGTTAGGATGCTACAGCATACCAACAACTCCTGAGGATTTCCTCGGCAACGTAGATGAGATGGATACAGGTAGAATACACTGAGTTGGCTTAAACTGTAATTATATTAATAACTTTGTGTTACAATCAGTAATGTTTTACAGTTGCATACTGAAGGATAATCTCTGGCTTTGCTATGCAAGTGAACAGACTGTGAGGGAAAATGCCTGAGGTATTTAGTGCCTAAAAGGTTCTCAGCTTCAATGCAGGTTCAGATTCTACTAGTCTGTCTTGGACTGGTACTAAACCAAGTAAGAAAAGGTTGGAAAATGTGGGCATTAATTAGTGTTTTCCTACCATAATTGAAGGTAGGAGGAGTAAAGTCTGGTCTTGGGCTACATTCGTGGTACATATCACTGTTTTCTAACTGTGGGAAACCAATATCATTAATAATGGCCAAGTTGGGTTTGCCTTCAAATAGAATGTATTCAGCTATCATAGATTTTGGTATGTATTTATTTTTATATCAGTGTTCTCCTGGTGTTTAAAATACTGAAATAAATTGCTAGGAAATAAACAAAGTTTTTTTCCAGATACTGAAATTCTCAGCACTTCCTCACCTAAACTTCCTTTTGAAGTCATCAGAAGTTCTAGATGATGCAAAGAGTGAAAAGTTTCTCTCTTAAAGATTTTTCATGCTTGTTATTATTAATTTATGAAAAAGTGTTACAGTATTGCAGAGCTAAATTGCTGTAAAGCCCGTTTTCCATTCTGCCCCACAACAGCATTCATCCTCGTGCAGAGAGCAGGTCAGAGGCCTTAGGCAAGACTCAGTTGCATTTCTCCCTGTTGTGAACTCTGAGCTATCAGGCTTCCCAAGTGGAAGGTGAGAGGCTGATTGCTTTGAACATTGCTGGAAAGGGCCTTTTGTGCTTCTGAAAGCAAAGCAAGGGTATGAAATTAATTTTTGGAAGAATATGCATTCTGCAAGCAAATACGGTTTTGAGATAACATTTTTAAGAGGACAGGAATGCTCACAAGTGCTTATGGGAAAAGGGGAGTCTAATTTTTACATCAATGAAGTTATTTTAAATTACCCACAAGAGAAGTATGGTATTTCAACGGTTCTTTTTTACTTTTCCTAGGAGAAACTATAGCACAGACAACAATGAACATAAATCCACAGCAAACACGTTTCCCAGATTTCCTCGACTGTCTTCCAGGCACAAATGTTGATCTTGGGACTCTAGAGTCAGAAGACCTGATCCCTATTCTCAACGACGTGGAGTCAGTACTCAACAGAAATGAGCCCTTCCTGACCTGGCTGTGATCGACTGGGCCTACAATGCAGTTCAGCATTTCACTTATTCCTCTTGAGACAGGGGTAGAGTATCTGAAAATCCTCAAGGGACACAACTTGCTGCCTTAATGACTTTTGTTACATTATCTTTACTGTCAGTTCAGTCTCTGCCTGGATTTGATTGACACTAATTTAAATATAAAATACAGATATATAGATATATATAAATACTTATATGCATATATATTTCTTCCTCTTGAAAAAAAGAGCACACTACTTTACCCATCTGTATACTTATTTACCTTTTCACACCAGGCAGAAATGTTTCACTGTAAGGACAGAAAGTAGGTGGTGTTTGTGCATCCCTGAGTGATCTCCTTGGTATTGATTAACATCACAAACTCTCCATGCATCACAAAAGCCAACTACTAGGTCACTTGGTTCAAAAAACAAGCACAGGATCACACCATGAGAGCAGTCTTATTACTGTGTTTATGACAATAGTATCAGAACCTTTTTTTATCAACCTAATTAAGCCTTAGACATCTTTTTTTCATTTTTTAGTAAGTAACTGTGCTGTATGGAATACAGATCAAATCTGGGCCGTATCAGCCATAATAATTCTCATTGTGTATTTGTAAAGGCACAAGCAGTACTATTGCCATTTGTTTTTTCAGTATATTACTGTACAGTTTTAAGAAAATACTACTTCCAATCTTGAAAGTACCAGAATTGCTTAGCAGTATTTTTACACTACAATATTGTTGCAAAATAAAGCAGGCTGGTACTGATTGTTGCCTTTTAAGAACAAAGCAATGTAGTATTAAAAAAGCATTTTTTAAAAGATCTTAGACTTTGATGTTTGTTATATTAAGCACTACAATTTTGTAATGTAACATATGAACAAACAATTTTTTATATATATAAAAACTGTGGCAAAGATCTTCAATGCAGAAATGTGCTTTTAAAATCAGGTCTGGAAAAAGTGGCACAGCTTCTTGATGTCATATGTAGTGGTGAAAACCCTTGCTCGTGCTGTTTTCAGTGATGTTTTTAACTGACAGTGTCAAAATACATGTAGTTGTATACATGAAAAAAAGATGGTAACTTTATCAGGGCAAGGCCAAGGCAGTATTGTGACTGCTCTGGTAAAGCTGCTGAGTTCTTAAGTCTTTCACTTCTTGTGCTTGGTGTACAGGAGATGCAGTGTGTTCTGTGTATTCCTGCCTGTTGTGTATCCTACAAATCCTTCTTTATCAGAGGTTTGGGACTGAGGAGGCATCAAGGACACTAAGCTTGCAGTTCCCCTGAAATGCAAATGAAGTCCTGAAATTCTTAAGTATTTTGAAATTATATTATTTATAATCAATGAATGTTAAGCTTTTTATATTGAAAAAAAAAAAGTCTTTTTATGAAAGGCATTGGAACTTTTCTCTAAGCTTGATCCAGGCCGCGTTAAGAGAGGAGGAGACGCAGCACTCGGTGTCAGTGTGTTTGCCAGCGCTGACACCACTACACTGGATCTTACCTGTGCACCAGAATATTGATCACTAAAGGCTCTTTCCATCTAGTGGATGAAGGTGGGTGAAAAGGTCAGAGATGAAGCGATGGAAAGGTGGAGCAGGTTTGGAAGGCAGGTGATTCCATAAGAAATGTAGATCCTTGCCAGGACAGGTGGTGCAGATGGGGGTACGCAGGAACAAATCACCAGTGTTCAGTAAAAAACATCACAGGAGAACCTGATGCAGTGAACTGCCTGGTCAGAGATGAGCTGCTGGGTGGACATGGTGTCTGAAGGTGGAAAATAAAAAGGACACACACCAAAATTTTGGAAAAAGAGATGGAAGGGAAAGACCTACAGTTGTCGAGTTTTGTTACGTAGAGAAAAGTAGCTCTTTTTATGTTCTGGGGCTTTTTTTAATAGAAATGAGATGGGACAGCAGAGTGGTCTGCACAGAATTTCATTACTGAATGGGCATTGTGTTTCTTTTATTCTTCTTTTTTCTTAAATTATTTTTGCTAGTGCTAACCATTGAGGTAGCATGGATTTCAACAAACAGGGGACCGTGCAGGGCCGACCAATATTACTGTAGTTATGATTAATCTCTTTCTTAAGGATTTCTTCAGGTTGTCAGCCTAAATAAAAAACAGATGGTCCCAAGGCTTTGTTCTTCAGTGACATGACTGAATTTGGTAAAAGAATGGCAGGTTTTTTGGTGTCTGGTTGTGATGCCAATTGTGAGGCCAGCTTGCCAGCCCTGCAGGGCTGGCCCAGCGAGCTGAAGCCATTGGTGCTAGAACAAGGGGCAGTAGCTGCAGACCTGAGCTCTAGAGTCAGCCCGTTCATACTGCTCGTCACTAGATCATCTTTAGACAGTTTGTTCATTTGCTGGTAAGTCTGTACTCTTGCAAATTTTAGTTTTGTCATCAGAAAGGCTGGTTCAGGCAGGTCAGATTCTCAGCGGGTGTGGATGAGCCTGCCTGGGCTGGCTTCTGCTTGGTTTCATCACCTGAAGGCCGAGCTTCTTGCAGAGGAGACTAGTGCTGTTTTCTAGTGAAGTCACGTGGACGTTTGTCAGAATTGTGAAGCTACAAACTTTATTCCTCTTTCATTGGTGTTTCAGGTGGTTGTGTCTTGGTTCAAAGACCTTTAATAGGTAAAAAAGTAAACTATATTTCCTTATGACTTCCATAACACACCAGCTGCAGATTTGGAACAGGAGGGTGCTGTGTGAAACAAAACTTCCAGTGTAAAACAACTGCCAGGATCTTAGGTCGGGTCTTCACTCAGTCATGAACCAAATCATGGTTAAGTTGAAAGTGATTCTTTAAGCTTTTCATTTTTGTAATGGAGAGGATGTGTCAGATGAAGTGTAGCAACAACAAAATTGACATTCTAGAGTTACCTTTTTTAAAAGTTCCTGGCTTTAAACAGGCTTATAGCAGAACTTTTTAATTATTGAAAGCGTATGTTAATCTTACAAAACTGAATTTATTGCTGACAATATTTCATTGTTCTTTTTCAGGTTTTGAACATTTGCTTTACCAAATGTACACTGTCTACTTGTAGTATAAATACCATAGATGTGCCAGCTGGACAGTTTACTGCTGACCATCACTGAGGGTGGCATACAAAAATCTTAGTGATACAGAAGTAATGGGATGTTGTTAATTACAGTTTGTATCCTGTAATACTCGTAGAATGTACATGGGGGCAGGAATGGGTTTGACTTTTTGACAACAAGTGGTGTTTGGGGGAAGGGAAGACATTTAAAACAGACATTTAAAGACTGTTTTAAATGCAGAAAAACATAGATAAACATAGATGTTCAAATGAACTTGTTTCCTAATACACTACATCCATGTATGTGCTAGTACTTTAACTTTTTTATTTACTTTTTTTTCATTTTGTTATATGACATGTGTGAGCATTTGTTTTCTATTTCAACCAACTGTATGTATCAAAAGCAATCAGATCAAACTGTTGTATCCAGGGTTTGATTCTGACTTGTTTTTTTTTTTAAATTCCTTTGATCTTGTACATGAAAAACAAATATAAATGAACTGAAATATTTTGGATGCATATTGGTTTATTAAATTGTTTTTTTTTCCTTTGGAGGATTATAGTATGTGCTCCCTAGAGAACTGTGTAACACTGCTTGGAATAAAGGTACAGACATTCTGTGCGAAAGACAGACATTTTTTGTTAAGTTATTAGCACTTAGCAAATGAAATTAGTTATTTTGCCATTGTGTTTCAGTTCATTAGTAGTTGTTCTGGCCCTTACAGTGGTTACAGTTTTACTTACAACATACTCCCCAGGGCTACCATTACTTATTTAAGTGGCACCTTGTAATTCCTAATTCACTAACAAATGTTTTGTTACTGTTTGTTTGATACTGTTATGTCCAAGCAGAAGAGTTAGCACCGAGTCCATTTGCTGTTAAATTCTGTGCTGGTGTCTTAACTAGTGCATTGTTTTCAGTGTGATCCCTTGTTCAAGAAGTTTCTTACATTCTGCATTAAGAAAATACCTGTCTTCTTTCCTACCAACAAGCCATGAAACCTAAACATCCCAGGCTTGCGTTTGAATATCTGGTCTTGATAGTCATGGTTCATGACATGGGTGATTTAAGATTCATTTTAATACTCTTCCGTGATTCACTCTGTTACATAGTTCAGCCTAATTAAATGTTAGAATGCTTCCAACATTATCTTCCATTTACGTAGACCAGCTCTGGAACCTTCACAAAACAGAAATGTGAAGTCTATTAGCTTCTGACCCTATTTTGAGAAACACGTTTGCTAATTCATGGCCTATTTACTCCGGAATATTAACCGAGTTTCTTTGGCAGCAACACTGGATGCATGTTTGTGTCTACAGGTCAGTCAGCCTGTGGGGAAGGTGCATCCCTGCCCCGGCCTGGTCAGCAGGGCCCTGTGCAGATGCTGCTCCGGGGTGTTGTGAGAAACCCCTTTCCCAAGGAGGGGTTCCTGGGACCGTGGCGTTTCAGAGGAGGCCTCTCAGCGCTCAGGCTTTTCCAGACAACAGTTTCATGTCGCGGTCCCGCTGCTGGGCCCGCCGGGCCTCCCTGTGGGGTCTCGGAGCGCGCAGAGAGCGGGGTTTGCTGCAGGGGCTTCGGGCACAGCCCTCCCCGGGCTTTGGTCCCGCCGGGCACTCAGAACGCATTCCTCCCTCTGCGTCATCCGCAGTGCCTGCACTGGCTACCTCTTAGGCCTTTGTAATTCTGCTGGCTGGGCTCGTGCACTTTGCCAGAGAATAGTAAGACCCACCTGTTTGGGGGGAGGCTTATGTGAAAAACGAGTTTTCCGGTGAGCCGCGGTTTGCAGACCTCCCTGAGGTGGGTGCGGGATGCGGCAGGGGCGGGGCAGGGAGCAGGGGCAGGAGCAGGAGCAGGGCAGGGAGCAGGGG